ACATTTCTGAGTTAGTTTCACCTGATCTGATCCTTAATAGGTGTGACATTTTCCTGCCTCTTTGCATGCCTGGTAGTCTTTGAATGGATGCCCAGCATTGTGAATTTTATGTTATTGGGTGCTGGATATTTTGATTCCTATGAATGCTCTTGAGCTGTGTTCTAGGGTGCAGTTAAGTTACTGGAAAGCTCATTATCTTGCAGCTTGCCTATAAGCTGGGTTAGGCAGGACTGGACCAGTGGTTACTCTAGGGCTAGTTATGCTCCCACTTCTGAGTCATCTACCCAGTGCCTTGAAAACTACGAGGCTTTTCCACCCCAGCAGGTGGGAGTGGGCACTATTTCTGGCTCTGTTTGGTCTCTGAGGGTTATGGCACCTAATTTTATCAGTTCTCCCCAGTCTCAGTCTCACACACATTTGCTGATCATTACTAAGCTGAAGATTTGAAGGGACCTCTGTGGAAGCTGGCAGCTCTCTTGGTGCAGCCCTTTCCCCGCTGGCACTCTGTCCTAGGAACATGAACTGCCTTGGTCTTCCTTGCCTCCCAGATCCATCTCTGAAACCCAGGTTCCCCTGTCTGCACTGTCTCCTGGAAACTCTCTAAGCAGGGTGTTGGGAGGGATGGTCGTGAGACTTCTGTGTTTACCTCCTGCTCTCAGGGGTGCCTGTGCTGTGCTGCCTCAAGTCCAATATCCCCAACCACTGTTGCATGATTTTGATAATTGTTTCAGCTGGCCTGGGTGGGAAAGTCCATCTAGTCCTTCTTACTCCATCCTGGTGTGTTACTGCAACACCTGGGGTTCAGTCTGGGTCCTGCTGTTCACACACAAAAAGCCAGTCACTGAGATAATCAGTTGCCTAGGAAGAAGGCTTTAGTCGGGTGCTGCATCGGAGGAGATGCGAGTTCAGTCTCAAATCCATCTTCCTGACTAAAACCAGGGATTTATGTAGCAGGGAAGAAATGTAACAATGTGTAAAACAAAGGCCTCTCAAAAAAGTATCAATGAGCTTTTCTGCTCATTCAATCAATCAATCACCAGATCACCACATCCTGACAATGAGGCATGGGGCCCCTTGTTCATCATCATTGCTTCCTTGCCCAGATAAAGCAAAGGTTTTGTTTGTTTTTATTTTTGTTTTTTGTTTTTTTGAGACAGAGTCTCACTCTGTTGCCCAGGCTGGAGTGCAGTGGCAGGATCCCTGCTCACTGGAACCTCCGCCTCCCAGGTTCAAGCAGTTTTCCTGCCTCAGCCTCACAAGTAGCTGGGATTACAGGCATGTGCCACCACACCCAGCTAATTTTGTATTTTTAGTAGAGACGGGGTTTCACCATGTTAGCCAGGCTGGTCTCGAACTCCTGACCTCAGGTGATCTGCCTGCTTCGGCCTCCCAAAGTGCTGGGATTACAGATAAAGCAAAGTTTTGAGCTTTAAGACCAGAAGGATCAGTTTCTATGTTTATCAAAACAAAACAAAACAAAACAAAACAAAAACAAAAAAACTGCCTATGGGGCTATTAGGTCTTTTTCCACTGGAAGTGGACTTTCTGTTCTGCCCAACTTTGTTTCCACTCCAAGCTCCTTACCCTCAGATCGGGAGACAGAGGGACCCTTCCATGGAAGGAGGCCCTGGTGACTCAAGCTCAAGAGTTCACAGTGGCCGAGTCCAGCCCTGTCAGGCTTCTCCCTGTGGCCGCTGGTGCTCCATGGCTGATGGAGAGGAGGGACCTGCCCAGCTGCAGGGGCTGCTCGCACTCTGGCCCCCTTTCCAGGCGGTGCTGGGCTTCTCCCATCCTCAGGCTGCTGCTCCTGTCAGTGCTCCCCTGGGCGTCCTCCTGCACAGACCTCAGCAACACTGGCTTCTGGGCCTGGTTCCTACCCACTCGCATTTAGGGCCCTTGGGTGATATCTTGCCATTAAGTTCTGTCCTAAATGGAACCCATGGGTTTTTCTGTTTCTATCTGATAATTCTGTTTCTATTTGGGATTTAGGGAGATTTAGAAACTATGCCTCAGGGAGCACCATGTCTCTAGAATCCACTTCTCCCCCTCCGAACATTCCTTCTTGATTCTAGTAAATGAAAAATTCACAGCAAAAAGGAAATAGACTTAGTTAAAAAAAAAAAAAAAAGGTTTCTACTTAAACCCCACAGCAAACACCGTGTGCAGTGGTGAACCTTTGGCACTTTCTCTTGAAGGTCAGGAACAATCAAGGATTCTTTTAATTTTATTCAGCATCGTCCTGGGTGTTCAAAGCCATGTTGCTACAGAAAAACAATAGAAATGGGAGTTTTACAGATTGGAAATGAGAAGCTAAATTCTCCTTATTTTCAAATGATAAGCTCATCTGCACAGAAAAATCCGAGAAAATCAATGACCAACTCTAAGAACTAATAAGAGAACTTGCAAAGGAAAGGAGCTAAACATATGGTTTGACATGAAGACAATATATACACGAATAGTTTATATAGATATACATGTAAGATTTATATACTAAGACAACATAACAGAAAACTGTTCCCCATTCACACTAGTAAAACATCCCTATGAAATACCTAGGAATTAACCCAAAGAGGAATATTTTAGACCTATAGAAGAAAATGATAGAATTCTAATGTGCCTATTGTACTATGTAACTGCAAGGCAAGACAATATGAACAATTATAGTTTCCTCCTACATATTTAAAAGCTCAATGCAATCCCAATAAAAATTACAGCAGTTTAAAAAATACTTGAAAAGCTTTCTAAAATTAATCGAGAACAAGCTAGAATCAGTGTTTTTAGAAAATAAGATAGTGGCACTTTCCTTTTGAGCTGTTAGGATGTATTATGAAGTTGAATAACATAGGTAAAACATCTGGAATGGATGCAAGGATAGATCAAGAGATTCATAGAACAAAATACAAAATATAGATTTCAGAAGCAGACTATACAAACTTTTTTTTTTTTTTTTTTGAGACAGAGTCTCGCTTAGTCGCCCAGGCTGGAGTGCAGTGGCACGATCTCGGCTCACTGCAAGCTCCGCCTCCCGGGTTCACGCCATTCTCCTGCCTCAGCCTCCCGAGTAGCTGGGACTACAGGCGCCCGCCGCCTCGCCCGGCTAATTTTTTGCATTTTTAGTAGAGACGCGGTTTCACTGTGTTAGCCAGGATGGTCTCGATCTCCTGACCTCGTGATCCGCCCGCCTCGGCCTCCCAAAGTGCTGGGATTACAGGCGTGAGCCACCGCACCTGGCCTATACAAACATTTTTATCAGGTGAAAGAGATGTTTCAAATGGGAGTTGGAGAGAACAAACTAACTTTAAAAAAGGACAATTGGCTATTGGTGGAAGAGAAAGATTAATACGTCATACCTCACACAAGTCCTATCAGCAAATGGGGCAAAAAGTTGAATCTAGGCAATAACAATGAAACCAGTATCAGCAAATGTAGGCCTGTTTCCAGTCTCAGGGAGTGTGCCGAACAGAAGCAATGACGGGTTTGGAAATATTTGGAGTGCATGTGATGGACAGAGGATCCCCCAGCCCTAAATCCATAAGAAAAACACACAACATGATGGAAAATGGGCTAAGAATGTGAACAGGAAACAGTGTGGGCGGCCGTGCACTTAGGCCATAGTGGGTTCCCAGTAGCCGTCAGTGCAGAGGGCAGGGAGCTGAGAGCAGAGCAGGCCGAGCCGGGGTCACGCAGGGTCCCCCAGTCACTGAGGGCACTGGGCAGCAATTACACACCCCCCCTCAGCCCCCTGCCCGGGTTCCACCTCACTTTCTGTGGCGTTTCTGCACCTGCTGTGACCACAGCCACGGCAGCACCACATCCATCAGGCTGTGGCCGGTCTGGCTGCGGGGCGACTGCAGCATCCCGGGTGGGCATTCTCATCAGGGTTTTGGTCTCTGCAGCTGGCCTGGAGGAGCTTGTCTCAGTCTGAGGACAGACTGCTCTGCTCAGAGCCCCATGTGCTGCCTGATCTTACCACTGTCCCCACTGACGGCCTTTCCCACAGGACACCACAGGCAGCTCATGCCCCCTGCGTGGACCAAGCCTTAGAGAGATGGGAGTGTCGCTGACTGTGTGCCCACACCAGCGTCATCTGTGGGACCCAGGCTCCTCATCCCTATACCTCCGTGGAACCTGCTGCCCCCAGAGAAGAACCCGGGCAGTGCCCAGGTTTCGGGGAATCCTGTGCATCCGTCCGCCCACCCCATGATGCTTTTGTCCCCATCAAGTCCCTTGTTTCCTGTGCAGGTGCAGCAGCCCCTCACTCTCCCTTCGCATTGCTGCTAAATGGGCAGAACCCTCAGGGGGTGGCACAGAGTGAGTGACCAGACCTGGAGGCTGCAGTGCCCGGATGCCAGATCAGCTTCCTGGCAGGTGACCCTGCAGGGTGAGCTCTCCCAGGTGGGACAGTGGGACGGTCCTGGGACCTGGAGAGCCCCACAGCCCAGGGCACCACAGTGAATGACCAGGCTCAGGAAGACCCGGGCATGGAGGCTGAGCCAGGACTGAGCCTTCCTGGGAGTGGCTGGGAGTCCCACCTGGTGACCTCCCTGGAGGAGTTAGGCCACTGTCCCCTGTGACTTCTAGGTTAAGTCACTCACTCCTAGAAACAGTCACGGCTGGAGGAGACCAATGTCAGCTCAAAACTGTGTGTCCCCCCAGGAGCACAACAGGAAAAGAGAATCAGGTGACCAAGGAGAGTTTATTCGGGAGAAGGAGGAGGTGCTGACAGGTTCAAGTCGAGGCCAAGTGACCCACGGCAGAAAAGCTGGGAGGGAGGACAGGGGACCCAGCAGGCAGCTGGGCACCTGCTGGGAGGCAAGAGGTGGGGAGCTGCGAAAATGGGGGCTCCTGGGAGCAAGGAGGGGGAGGCCACCTCAGCACAGGGGAGACACAGGGACCCATCCTAGGTGGGGGCAACCACCTAAACCAGGTCAGGAATTGAACCCAGCTGGCCCAGGGGGGTGTGCACATCAGCAGCTAGACTCCTGGCCTGAGCAGAGGGCTCAGCAGGCCGGACGGGAGCACGTGGGGCGGCAGAAGAGGGACACGCAGGAGGCTGGGCGGCAGCAGCTGGGCTGGCAGGAGGAGGCGGGGGTACAGCAGGAGGAGACGGGCACGCAGCAGGTGGACCTGCAAACGGGGCGGCAGAGGAGGGACACAGAGGAGGAGGATCTGCAGCAGGAGGTAGTGCAGCAAGCCGGCTGGCAGCTAGACTGCTGGCAGCACAGAGAGGAAGCCCCAGAGCAGACAGGCACATAGCAGACGGGCTTGCAGCAGACAGGCACACAGCAGGCCTGCTGGCAGGGCAAGGAGGTGCAGCAAGCTGGCTGGCAGCTAGACTGTTGGCAGCATGAAGAGGAAGACTCAGAGCAGGTGGGCACACAGCAGATAGGCTTGCAGCAGACGGGCACGCAGCACACCTGCTGGCACAGGGAGGAGGTGCAGCAAGCCGGCTGGCAGCTGGACTGCTGGCAGCATGAGGGTGTGCAGGAGCTGGTGCAGCCTGATTGGCAGGGGCTGGGCTCACAGGCCGCCTGGCAGCAGGGGCTGGACACACAGCTCACTGGGGTGCAGACCAAGGTCAGGCATGGGGCCGGGGCACAGCAGCTAGGGGCACAGCAGGGGGGCTCACAGCAGCTCTCTGGGCAGTCGTCCACCTGCCAGGAGTCAGAGCAAGTGCTGGAGCAGACGGACATGGTAGATGCGGCCATGCTGGGGTTGGGGAGGTGAGCTGGAGGAGGTGTGAGGGAGTGAGTGTGGGAGTGAGTGAGTGTGTGAGTGTGTGAGCTTCATGGGGCTCTCCGGCTTTTATACCCCTCCTGGCCTTGTTGTTCCAGGGCCCACAGCCTCTCCTTCCTGGTTGCTGAGAGGCAGCGTGTGTCATGACTAGAGATGTTTTTTTGCCTGTGATGTGGCCCAGCTCATAAATCTCCTGTCATGTCTGGGCTGTAGCCTGTCCCATGTGGATCCCTGGGGGCAAGAGTGGAGGTGGGCCTGGTCTGCACCCCTCCAGTGCTGCCCAGGTTGTAAGAAGGGGGCTGTAAAGGCAGGGGTGGCCCTTCACCCTTGTGCAAAGTGTGGCATGCCAAGGCAAGAGCTGTCCCACTCATGATTATGGGGGCGTCTCCTCCCTAAAGCAGGTCCTCACTGAAGAGGCAGAAGCAGCCGGTAGAAGCACAGGATCACTGGAGCAGCCGGCGAGAAGGTGCAGCAGGGGCCAGTGAGCCCTGCAGTGGTGGCCCTGCACATTCCTTCCCCCGTCCCCATCACTGGAGGAGTTACAGCCCAAAACAGGGAGAAGAGGAGCAAGGAAGGAGAAGCCATGCCCTTCCCCATAGCCTTCCCCGAGGACCCCTCAGACGTGCGTGTGGGAACGCTGGGGATAGGACTGGGTTTTGGACGGGAAAGAAACGTTTTGGACTGGCCCATGGATTTGGTTCTGCTTTTAAAGGTCATAGCTTTATGATGTGCTTCAATCATAGATAACTCAAGTCCCATGATCAATATTTCTTATTTGTGCATTTTCTTTTTGTACAGATGGGGTCTCAAGTGATCCTCCTGCCTTGGCCAAAGTGCTGGGGTTGCAGGCGTGAGCCCTGTGCCTGGCCATCATCAGTGTTTCTGCACCACATGTCTTCCCCGTTCCTGCTCATTGTCCTTGCTGTCCTCAGCTTCTGTTCCTCAAACGTAAGCTGCATGTGGGCAGGAAGTGTGTTTGTCTTGTTCACCACTCAGTCCTCAAAGGCCTAAAATAGTGCCTGGCCCAAGGAAGAGCCTTTATAAAAACCGGCTCAAGTTATACTTTTTTAGAGAAATTATTGAAGAGTAATTCTGAGCTCTGAAAACGATTCCATTGTGCCACCTTCTTCTTATGCTGTATAAAATGCTCTGTCAAGTTCTCCTTTCGTGTGTGGGGAAGTGGCTTACATCAGACTGGCATCTAGCTGAGAAAAATGAGGAAATCTGGTTTACAAACAAAATCTCTGTTCGTAAGGGCCGGGAGGTATCAAGGCAGCTGAGACTTGAGTGAATCCCCGTTAGAGAGAAAGTGCACAGAAGTGACTCCAATATTCCTTGTGGATTTTCTTATTGAGGCATTTACCAATTCACAGACCACAGCCAAAAGGCCGAGAGGCTGATCAGCTGAGCAGAGCTTTTAGTAGTCTCACGGAATTAGAAGAAAACAGAGTTCAGGACCTGACAAGGTGGAGGGAGTCTAGTAAAAAAATAAAAAATTAAAAACCCTAGGCTTTCAGTTGGAAATGCTGAATATAAGTGAAGGGCTACCCCTAGGAGGAAGGAAAAACCAGAAAGAAGAATGAAGTCTATCTTTAAATCAGCTCGTATTGAACTCATATGATCTGCCTGTAGCCTAACTGCCTCCCAGAAACAAAAGTGATCTCTTCTGGAGACAGCAGCATCAACAGAAGCTCAAATAATCTTATAAATTTTCATAAAGTCCTTCATTCAGTCAAAAAATTACTAGGGATACTAGAAGACAAGACCAACTGACCAAAAGACCAAGAGGAAAAAACAAACAAGAGAAACAGATGTGCAGGAGATCTACATATTAGAATTGTGAAACTGGAATTTAAAGTAATGCTGATCAACTTTGCTCAAGAAAAAAGAGAACAAATGGAGAATTTCATTGTCAAACTGGATTTATTAAATGGAATCAAACAGAAATTCTGGAAACGAAGAACGCAATAGCTGAAATTAAGAACTAAGTAGCTTAGCTTTACAACCTATAGACAAAACCAAAGAGAAGATTAATAAAGGAAGGGAGATGAGGAAATTTCAAGCCTGAATTCAGAGATGGGAAAGAAAAGAGGGAAATAAAGAAAGTGGAGCAATAAATATGCCTGCATTTTGTGAAAATCTATGGGAAAAATGATTGAATCCTACAAGGAGAGGAGTAAAATAGGGGTAGTAAAATATTTGAAGATATAATGGACAAGAACTTTAACCTGATGAAATGTGTAGATGCAAAAAACATTTAAGAATCTTTAGGCCAGGTGTGATGGCTCACACCTGTAATACCAGCACTTTGGGAGGCCAAGGTGGGCAAATTGCTTGAGCTCAGGAGTTGAAGACTAGCCAGGACAACATAGCAAAACCCAATCTTGGCCAGGTGTGGTGGCTTACACCTGTAATCCTAGCACTTTGGGAGGCAGAGGCGGGCGGATCACAAGGTCAGGAGATCAAGACCATCCTGGCTAACATGGTGAAACACCGTCTCTACTAAAAATACAAAAAAAAAAAAAAAAAAAAAGGCGGGCGCCTGTATCCCAGCTACTCGGGAGTCTGAGGCAGGAGAATGGCGTGAACCTGGGAGGCAGAGCTTGCAGTGAGCCGAGATCGCACCACTGCACTCCAGCCTGGGCGACAGAGCAAGACTCTGTCTCAAAAAAAAAAAAAAAAAAAACTCTACAAAAAATATAGAAATTTGGCCCAGCTTGGAGGTACATCTGTAGTCCCAGCTACTCAAGAGGCTAAGGAGGAGGATCACTTGAGCCTGGGAGGTAGAGGCTGCAGTGAGCCAAGATTGCACCACTGCACTCTAACCTGGGCAACAGAAGGAGACCTGCTGAAAAAGAAAAAAGAAAAGAAAAGAAAAGAAAAAAGGAACCTCCTCCCAAACCAAGAATCTTTAGCAAGTGAATACAAAGCAAACTACACCTGGGCACATTGGGGCTGAAATCCAAAGACTGAGAAAAATTTAAAAACAGCCAGAGGAAAACAAGACGTATTACCTTCAAAGAAGCAACAATAACATTTACAGATGACTTCTCAGTAGAAATGATGGAAGGTAGAGGACAATGGAATGATTTATTTACTGTTTGAAAGAAAAGAAGCACAAAGCTAGAATTCTATACCTGGGAAGAAGATTCCCCCAAATGAGAACAGAATAAAGATGTCCTCTGGACACTGAGAGGATGTGTCACCAGCAGGATCTGCGATACAGAAAATACTAATGAGAGCATTAGGCAGAACAAAAACAATCACAGATGAAAGCAAGAAGTTGATAAGGAAATGAAATGTAGCAAAAGAAGAACACATGGGGAAAATCTAAGTGAATGTTCACTGTATAAAATGTCTTATATGTTGTAAAATATTCATAGAAATAAAATACATAGCAAGAACACAAAATTCAGGGGGCTACATGGAGTTCAAGTGGCTTAAGCACAGTGCACCATCTGAAAAATAATATAAGGTCTAATTTACATTAGACTTTAAAAAGTCATGGATTTATGTTATAATCTCCACTATAATGATAGAGGAATATACAACTCACTAGGAAGGAGATGCATGTACTCGGTTGACTCATGCCTCCCCAAAAGTCATCTCCACCCAGAACTGCACAATATGACCTTATATGGAAATAAGGTATTTGCAGATGTAATTAGTTAAGTCATATGGGATCATAGTGAACCTTAAATCCAATGTCTAGTGTCTTTACCAGAGAAAGGAGAAGGAAGTCCAGACGTACACACAAAGGGAAGAAGATGATATGACAACAGAGGTGAAGATCAGAGTGAAGATAGAGGCCAAGGGACACCAAGATTTGCTGGGTGCCACCAGAAGCTAGAAGTGGCAGGGACAGATTCTCCCTTGGACCTCAGAGAAAGCCTGGCCCTGCCCAACTGAGGAATGCTGTGTGCTTCGTTTCGGGTGCCTGGCCCTCAGAACTGTGAGAGAATAATTTCCCATTGTTTTCAGTCACTCCTTTGGTGTAATTAGCTATGGTAGCACTAGGAACCAATACAATGAAGGAATAAAACAAAACTTAAAACACTCAATCCAAAAGCAGTAAAGCAAGGAGATAAAAGGGAGTAGATTCCTTGCATAAGCAAAAACCAAAGTGAGATGGGAGGTTTAAGCTCAAATGTATCAGCAAAGCCCCACATTCTTGCCAGTCCTGCACAGCAGATGTGTTGTTACCTTAGTCAACACAGCTGTATAGAGAAAGTCACTGGGGTTTAAGTTCACGTTGTCCTGATGATTCATGATATGGAGCATGTTTTTATGTGTTTATTTGCCATCCGTATCTGTTCTTTAGTGAAGGGTCTATTTAAGTCATATATTATATGGCAAAATACTAAACACCATGGGAATCCATAGATGTGATATTACGGCAATAGTAATAATAATAAGACCCAAAAAATCAGTGCCTGTTCGGGGTTAGGGTGGGGATGTGGAATGACTACAAAGGGGCAAAAGGGAAATTTATGGGATGATGGGAGGCGTCTGTGTATTGATGGTGTTGGTGGAGACACAACTGTCTATTTGTCAAGACACAGAATCCAACAAAAGGAAAAATCCCAAATATATCATATTGATTAAATGAATCTAAGATTAAAAGCCATTCTACAAAGCAAACTATGGACCCAAAGACTTTCACCACAGAATGCTGTCAAATAATTGGGAGAGAAATAATGCTAGGCTTAAATTTCTCAGCTTGCTTCATTAGGCCATCATCATTTTCCAGACCTTAGGAAGTGGGACCTGAAGTATTGGCTTCTAGTGAGAGCAACTGAGGAATGCTGTGTGCTGCCCAGGGGG